AACAATAAATCAAATTTAGAATTAACAACTTGAAATTAGCTAATTAAAATCTAAATATCCAACAACACAAATATATTAATTAATTTAATATAAATCATTAGTTAAACATTTAAGCTAACTAGTAACTACAGCAGCAACTGCAACAACGCAGCAGCAACTCTAGCAAGCCCTTGAGTAGTGAGCAGTAGCAAATGACTGAGCAGTGAGCAGCAGCAGTGGCAGTGGGCAGCGACAGGCAGTGAGCAGCGACAATCCAATCCAATCTCTCCCTCCCCTATGGCGAACCCTAAGTGAAGAACAAAGAAGATGACTTAGATTTAGAATTTTAGATGGTTAAATCAAATTTGTCCCGAATTTTCAATAAAAATGTTATTCGTGGTTGGGCTGTATGGGTCGTAGGCTTTTAAAATGAAAAATTGGCTTAATTTATGGGTTATCTAGTCAAAACCCACTAACTCAAGATGAGAAACTCAAGATGAGAAACTCAAAAGGAAATAGGCAAAAAGTCTAACTGCTAAACAGGGATAAAATCGAGATTTTATCCGATTTCAAAATAAGATCTCGATTTTACATTTTTTACCCTAGATTTTATAAATTTTTTATTTTAGTATAGATTTTACACAAAATATCTTGCTAAAATCGTAAGATTTTACGATTTAAATATAGATTTTGACAACACTGGTGCTACCCAGGGCTATACCATGCAGACAGTCTATTTTAAAGGATTGTCTCTGTATAATTTGAATGTTAATTCATATATTGGCCATTTTATGTGTCACCCTTAAAGTTGCATTAGTATTTTTTTTTTTTTATTGATGGAGATGCATTAAAATTGTTGAAGATCCAGCTGATGATTTTTTAAAGTAAGGATAGATACGATGTAAGCTTAGGGGAGAGGATATTTCTGTCCCTTAATTACTTTGTTTTTTTAATTAATATAACTAGAAGATGATGAAGAAGATTGTCGAAATCTTAAATCTTAAATTTTTAGATCAGACAACACTTTTCAAGTAATTGTCGTGATTGGGTAGAATGGTGGTTGGCCTGTCCCTTCGTTACTTACTTAGCTGTGTTCTGCTTGAAAGCACAAAAAAGCAGTCAACGCAAGCCTTTTGCTCCCTGTAAAATTCGAGAAAGTCTACAATATTAGGTTATATTACGTTAGTAATATTCCGAACCTATAAAAAGGTAACCTGTCAATCTCAGTAATCCAGCTTATCCGTGTAACGGAAAGAAGCATTTAACGTAAAATCAAGAAACCGTGAACGTTGTGTACGGAAAAGGGCCTTCACTTCCCAAAGAGTTTCTGACGTTTTCCCTTTTCCTCTGTGACAAAAAGCCACAGGCCACAACACCGTCATTCTCCATCTCCGTCTCAGGCAGCTGGTTTAGAGGTGGACAGCCCTGGGTTATTGAGCTCTGCTTAGTTCTGATTTCCCACTTGCATTTGCCTCTGTTCTTGTTCATCTTCTCTGCTCTGCCTCTGTACGTACTCTGATGATGGGAAATTGAACTCTGCGTTATCTCCACGGAACTCAATGGCTGCTCTGTGGTAGGCCCTGGCCGCAACCTCCGCAGTCTGGAACGTGCCCAGCCGAGGGCCGGGTCTCCGCTGCCCATTTGCTCAGTGGCCGCTGTCGAACTCTCCTGTAGCGCTACCTGATAAATATGATGCATCTCTCCAGAGACAGCTCCTTTTGAGATTCTAGAAACATGCTTTCCTAGAATCACCCAAATTCTTATTCTCGACCAAATCAATTCTTATAACCTCCTTACGTAACTCGGAGAAAGAAAATTAAGGCTACAAACAGCCAAACAAGTGGATTAGAATTAATATTGAAAATTAAGAAAAGGGTTTTGCAGGGATTTAAAATTAATCTCGAAAATGAAAACAATCAAGCGGATGGCAATTTCCTCCCAAATCAGCAGAGCTCTACAGAAATTCTCCTCACAAAAATTTTAAAGAATATTCCTTCCACAAGGTTAGGATAAAGGTTTTTTTTTTTTTTTCACAAATTTTATAAGAAATTTCCTTTGTTTTCTGAAGAACCGTGATGATTTATATATAATAAAAAAAATAAATTTATTTATATATATTTTTGTAAATATAATACTAATTAATTTTTACTTGG